TTTGTCAGTTTCTGTTATGTGAGAACTGTGAGAAGCTGAACAATTACAAGCATTACTTGTGATACATTTGGTGTGTTTCTGTTGTGTTCATTTGATTTGGGGTTTATTATAGTGCTTTATTACAGTTCTAATCCCCATGATGACTCCCATAGGAGATCTTTTTTCTCTTCTTCCCCCCCTTCCTTTATCTCTCTTTTTCTCCCCCTTCCCCCCCGTTATTTATTTAAAGGCCTTTCAACTGTGTAAATGATCATTCAGTAAAATGGCTCTGCCCTTCACAGGTGGTTGAAAGTTGGCCTCGTGCTTCCTATCGCCATAGGTGTGCAATTATAGAGCATAGCTGAACCCTTTGTGTTATTGCCTATGCAAGATGCCTCATAAAAGCTCACTGTTGTTAGCAAGTGGGGACTATTTGACACCAAAATGTGTGGGTGAGATTTAGCGTAGGTGGCCATGCTTAATTGTATCATTCAAATGTTATTTTTAAAGGTTTTAAAACACATTTTACATATCACAAAAAATGCTTTGTGAATTGGTTGTACAATTTGCCAATAATACTAAGGGCTGAATTAGAGGGGAGTGTCCATCTGATGTTTAGGATAATATTTGAATTTATGACCTTTTTTTTAATCTAGAAATTTAAGAAATTTCAGATTTTAAGAGGCTTGGAATAGATGATGGATGATCAATATATCTAAACATGTGGGTGAATTAAGACCCTTGCAGTTGTGTCAAGAAAAGAAAAAGGATTATTCTGTGTGTGATTATTTCCCAGTTAGAGAAGTAGAATTTTTTAAATCAGCTTTTTTTGTCCAGCTGTTATGCATAGATAATGGATGTAGAATTTTAAAGAAGCCTGCCGTAAGACAGAGGTGTTTGTAGGTGACCCCAGGAGTAAGCTGCCTTTGAGAGACCCCCCAGTAGGTGATAGGACATTGATGAATTAACCACGTGGGTGTGAATTTTGACCTTATTGATCAGAACCCTGATTTTTGTCATTGCAATTAGCCAATTCATATAGTCTATTTAGTGATTCACAGCCAAAAATAAAACCAGCATAAGGATTAAAAACACTTGAATTGCTAAAACCAGCAGATTCTCTCCCAGAAGACCCCTATGAGGGGTCAAATGGTGGTAAGAAGGTTGCTTGAGCAGAAAGAGAACAAAGGAAGTTTGTTATATAATTCACATGTTTAATGTCACCAGACCAAAGTCTAATGCAACCCCCTCAGTGGGACTACCGTTGCTAATGTGATGAGATACTCAATCTATTGGCAAAGACCACCCTTCCTTTATGTAGGCGCTACCAGCTTTTCCTTTCTGTGATTGTTTTTGTAATTTTTTTGTCATTGACCAGCCATTCAGATATGTTGTTAAAATCTGCAGTCTTTCTCTGGCCTACGAGTCTAGTTACCTTTTTCAGGTAACTATGCTTATTTTTGCTATGACCCCTGAATGTGATACCTTAATAGGTCACCGAAGATTTGGGTTGAGTGTGTATCTACTAGGATAAATCTTGGAAAACACATTCAGTCGGGTAGCTGCTTTTTGTTTCTTTTTAAGTTGTTTTGGGGGAATCTGTTTACTTTTTAGATTTGGTCCATTTTCCAGCAAGGCAGTAATCAAAAGGAGAAAGGGGAGGAGTACCAGGATTTATTAGCCATCTATCAATTGCTATACTAGGCCCTTTCTATGCCTCTTCATTTGGACTTCTAATCACTGTTTAGCATTGTTTCCATTTTTCAACTGAGGACAGATTCAGAGAAGGTTGCTAGAGGACATAGTAGCTGAAGTGGTAGAATCAGAATGTGAGCCTTAGTGTGTCAGGGCCTGGGCCTTTGTGTTGCCTTTACTGCCATCTTTAAAAAGCAGAGTTAGTCGAGTAAGTGACTCCATGGCTAATCAGCTGAAGAGATGACTACATCTGATGTTAGGCGTGTGCCAGCTCTGGGGCAATGGACCGATTCTCCTGCCTTCCATCAACCACAGACCAGTACTTTTGTACACTAAAAATAAATGAGAATTAAGTTGAGTAGCACTGATCGACATGTTCTTTTTCGAGACCCCCATTGATCTTTTCAGGGAACAAAAAGTTCCTGACCTTTTCAAAATACAAGTTTACAGTTGAAGAGAATAATATCCTCAGCTGACTATTTGGCAAAGAATAGGGTATGTAACTTGTTAAATGCTTATAAAATTCTTGCTTACATTTTTTGACACCCCTTAGAAGAAAAAGAAATACTGAAACTGTAGAACAAATGTCTTATAACCCCTCCTATCTATGGCTCTTGCACACTACAGAATTGCCTTTGTTACTTGTTATTTTTCCCAGCTCTTCAATTTATATTTTGCTTAATTCTGTCTCTTAACTAAGATCTGCAAGCAACTTAATGATTATAATGCATGTTGGAACTGAATGCTTGCTGGGTGTAGGCAAACATTTGAACATAGCACTGTAGTTTGGGAGAATGTAATATTACAGATTTAAATGTTAACAAACTAGTAAGAGAGTTAGGCCCTAGTTGGGGAAATGAGACCGCACTCCTCTTGCCGTGGGCTGTGTGTCCCACAATGATGGCAGTATTTATAGTGTGTGCTGTGTGTCAAGTACCTTATTTAAACCTCAGAACCACCTGTGAGGTAGATATTGTAATCACTGTAATTTTACAGAGGAGGGCTCTGAGGCGCAGAGAAGTTATGTATGTAAGTTCTCAATGGCAAAGCGGAGACTCAAATCCAGACGGGACTGCAGAACCTGAACTTCACTCCCAGCACTGTAAGGTTCCTGGGTTGCCATCTAAAATCTTCCTGGAGCCGCAGTGGGGCAGGCGGTCCTGCATTAGCAACTGGAAGCAGATGCGAGCTGAGTGAGAGTTAGGCACCCCCTGGACTGGCTCATTTCTCCCCCAGTCTAGACATCAACATGTTTCCAGTTACTCTCGTAAACCATAGTTTGTCCTGGCATAAGGCCAATTACTTTCTGATTTGAGAGACCACTCCCCCTTTCTCTCACCCCTTTATTCTGTCCCCATCTCTCCACATCTGCTTGGTGGTTTGGAATGCTTGAGCCAGGTATTCCTAGAGCTTTGCTGAAATGGCACAGGAGTGTTTTCGGGCTTCAGAAGTAGCTTCATCTTGTCCTCATGTATCAGAGGACAGAAGACCTTCTGAAAGGAAACTCACCTTTTACTTCCCTACAGTCAGCTCTCTTACAACATACCTCTTCTTCACAGAATAAGACAATGTTAGGGTCCAGTCTCTCACACTGAGATGAGAAAACTGAGGCCCAGAGATCTCCCCAAACTGATCTCTTCCTCTGTAACTACACTGTCCAGTCCACGAGCCTCATGTGGCTGTTTAAATTTCAGTATGATGAGAAATCTAATTTCTTCAGGTTCACTGGCCACATTACAAGTGCTTAACAGCCGCCTCTGGCTAACGGCTACCATACCCGACAGTGCTCCTGGGTCCTGAATAGATCTGTCCGCTTGTCTTTCCTGACTCCTGTGACACTGGCCTTCAGAGACCCTGCCAACCTCCCAAGTTTTCTCTACAAGGGTGCCAAACCATGCAGATCATCTCCAGAGTGTAAGGGATCTGACACTCACAACTAACAGAACACCAGGAGTTTGAAGGTACTGGATTTCTAGGCATCTGGGAATATCTAGAAATCCTAATGGAAATACAACCACACACACATGTATCAGACACACCTTCAGGCCAGGGCTGCTTTCTCACTTGTTCTACCACAACAGAAGCATGGAGTGGCCTCCCCACCTCCTGGGGTGGGGGAAGGTGCTGGTGGACCTGAGCTTTGGCATCGGGTAGGTCTGAATTTGTGTCATTTGGATCCTGGCTTTGTGATGTTGGTCCTATGAGGTAAGCTCTGTTAGCTGCAGACTCCACCTATTCTAGGAGCTACTCCTATATTTTAAAATGGGGAAAGTGGGGGCACCTGGGTGGCTCAGTCATTAAGCGTCTACCTTCAGCTTAGGTCATGATCCCGGGGTCCTGGGATCGAGCCCCGCATCAGGCTCCCTGCTCAGCGGGAAGCCTCCTTCTCTGTCTCCCACTCCCCCTGCTTGTGTTCCTGCTCTCGCTGTGTCTCTCTGTGAAATAAATAAAATCTTAAAAAGTAAAATGGGGAAAGTGCTCTGTATATACCGCACTGGGTTTATTTTAAGGACAAAAAGAATCTCCTCAGCACACAGCCACCACTCAGTAACTGTGGATGTGGTTCTCCTTTTCCAAGATTCACTGCTTAACTCCAGATTGGCTTAGAGGAATACTGCTTAAGTAATGGTCCCCAGAGCACCAGCAGCCCCCGCCCTGCAGTAATGGATAAATGCAAATCAGGGAGGTGCTTAGCCAACCACTTCTGCGGCCCATGGCAGGATTAATAAGCCAGTAAAGCAGCATGTTCTTTCCTATGAATAACTTAGGCTTTTCGTGAGGTTTACTAGCTGGTGGATCTATGTGTATTCTAATCATCTAATACTCTACTTAAGGTTTTGAGTAATAGTTTAATAATTAGCAACTAACCTCTTTGGATCCATACAAGCTCAGCACTCAGCTAATTCACTTTTTCTACAGTCAGAAAGAATATGAAGTAAGACATGAAGACAGTGATTACATCAGCCCAGGCTTTGTGACAACTCGGGATTTCCAGGGAGTCAAGTGGGGTTATGAAATTCTCAAAATTTAATTTGAATCCATATTTTTTAAAGGGCGCCTGGCTGGCTCAGTCAGTAGAGCATGTGACTCTTGATCTCAGGCTCATGAGTTAAAGCCCCATGTTGGGCATGGAGCCTTCTTAAAAAGGAAATAAATAAATAGAAAATTAAAAATATAAAATGTCAAATGGTGCTTTGGCGACAGTAAGAAAAAGTCAGGAAGTCCACAAACCCACGAAGGTGTCTGCCCTAAAAGTCTAGAAAGTACTGCATTACTGAATCAGCTTTCATAGTAAATGTTCCATAACAAAGGCCTGTTGAATTTGGTCACAGTTATTACAGAGTAAAGGGCTTTTATTTGTTTGGTCACATCTTTATCATTTAAGAAATTTTTAAAAATGATATTTATTTTTATTTCAACATGTCAACTGTGCATTTCCAAAACAGCAGGCTTTTCAAAGGAATAAATCAGAACTGTAAACACAAGACACAGTATAAGTTTTTGACTTCCTAGAGTCAGTTTCACAAATCCACATACTGTACATTCATAGGTGAGGTTCAGCCTGTCATCCATTTCTTTATTTCTATAATTACATAAGCATAATAAATACATCTGATTTTAAAGGTCACTTAAAATGAGTCATGATAATTTACAGTACAGTACGTTTTCAGTTCAAGTGCAAAAATAACTATTTGCTTAATGCTATTTCTTTCTGTTATTTTATTTTTAAGCTGTGTTTTGTGGCAAAGCTAGACATCCAAGTATAGAATTTCTTCTCCCAGATGCAGTATTGGGCAGAAGTATGGTGTCATGGAGAAGCCCTCAGTTTACAACTCATCCTGTCTAATCAGGGTCAGAGGTAAGGTGAGTTGTTCATTTTTAACTCTGTTCTTTCCTTTCCTCTCTCCTGTGCTCACTCACAGTTATTACACATACCATAATTGACCTTCATTCAGCTAAAGCAGCATTCCCTTTTCCACAGCCCTCCCCCAAGGCTTCCTCATATCCTCAGTTTTTCATTTTTAGCAGCAGGCTTTATGCATGAATCACTCAGCCACAGTTCTGACTGTAGCTATGATATTTACAGTAGCACACCCCTATCTGATCTGTCCAGTGTCTGACAGTATCTTCATGGAAAAGAATATACTGAGATTTGTTTTTTTAGTCATTGGAAAATATAGTTCTCATCCTTTCTATTCCTGGCTTCCTATTCACCACCTTTTCCCCTCACCAAAAACAAAACAAAAACTTACCCATTGTGTAATTTTTAAAAATTGTATCCCTCTCCCAGGCACTTAAATCTTATACTGTTATTTGTAAATAGTACTGCTTAATTAAAGAAACCCCTAGGAATTCGGTAATTTTTTTTAAAATTCCATCAGCTACTTAGAGCCCAAATCACTATAAAACTGTTAAACAGTGATCGAGGCTATTTACAGTATTGATTAATATTTAGTAAACCCTTGTCTGTCAAGCCATAGGATACTGAATTGGTTGGTTTATTTGAAATATTCCCTCCTCTGGTCTTAAAGCCCATTTAAAACAAAAGGCGTTTTAAAGCTCAGGTTAGTTTGCGTAGTCAATACGGCTTTTGCTGCTCAAAGAATTGACTATTTTCATTATATACCATATACATATAAAAATATATTTGCTAGAGATATGCCAAGTTTCTGATGAAACTTTTTCCTTTTTTTTTTAAACAAAAGCATATAAGCTAGTAACTTTTCTGGCTACTTTTTTAAATATGTCATGTAATTTTTTAAATAGTTCTCTTCAAGAGAAACAAAATTATAGATACATTTTATTTCTTCCCAGTTTGCGTTAAGAACCAAGTAATTAGAATAAATAATCAGAAGAGGGAAATTGTGTCAGCATTCACCTTGAAACACTTCCTTTCCCTCCACTTACTTAGTGTAACTGCTGCTTTCAACCCTTACTGCACTGGCAAAGAAGTCCTATAGTCCTTAACCTAACCAACCGAAGAACTGGAAGTCTTCACCGAACTCCCATTCCCCTTCTGTGATTCCAGTGGGATTATGGAAAGTTTATCTGTTTCTGCCAGTATGTACTGTAGCTCCTGTGTATGTATGTGTGTTTCCATGTTGATGAGTTCAGGTATTTAGAAGCGTATATAGTGCTATGCTTCTCAAGGTGAGGCATGTCTTAGGTTCAGGGAGACTCTCCCTCTGTCCTGGCAGAGGAGCCTGGTTCCATGCAGGGTGTGAGATGAGTGGGAGCCCTCAGTGTCCCCCAGTGGCAGGCTGAGCCTGTTGGTCCTCGCTCTCCTCCACACGCTGGTCCACACTGGGGTGAGTGGGGCTGCTCTGCGTCTGAGATGCTGCTGCTTGAGGGGATGGCTGGTTTCTAGATGGGTCAGAGTGAGTCTCATATGGGACAGGCCGGACTCCACCAGCTAGAGAATTTTCCCGATTCTCATTGGTCCCCTGGAAGGAAAAAAAGAGAAGATGTTCTGTAGTCAGGGCTGCTTGCAAATATATCCAACATTTTTCATATGCCTTCAAGTAAGATATAAGAAACATGGGGAGATCATCCTGAAGTAACTTCAGGGAACAAATAATAGAGGAATAAAGATAGAATGTCTTACCTTTCATCTCCTTTCCTATGTGCAACTGCCAAAGCCGCATGAAAAACACAAACACTTTAAGCAGATGTATCTTGTGGATAAAGGAACATCACTACCAAAATGCCTGGTACTACTAAGAAAACAATTTACATCAGCAAATATTTACTGAGCCACCACCATTGTGACAAGTCACTGAGCAAGCAGCATGGAATTGAACAGAATTCAAGAGCTGGAAGCACCTGTCTGACAGAAAGTAAGGAAGGCATTCTTAGCCTCAGAGAAAAGCCAACAAAAGAATGTCCTGAAATTAAGGGTCCTGATGAATACTTGGGATTTAAAGTATACACTACAAGTTAAGACAGAACATCTGTGTAAAAAAGGGGAATGGAAACAAGCACTTAGGTCACCAATAGTAAGTAACTGTGAGTCCACACATACTCCAGCATATCACCCCCGCCCCCAGTATGTCTGTAAAATGCTACATCGCCAGAGTCCTGATTGATACAAATCAGGAAACATGTTTTTTTAAAAACAGATTTTCCTCTGAATTAGTATACATCACTTCAAATAGCTGACCACCAAAGAAAAAGTTTTATTTCTGTGATCAATTCTAAAATGTAAAGAAATCTTAATATGATGACTTCTTATTTGTAAGAATAACTAAGCCATACCAGCCAGTTTTTATTAATCCTAACATGCCAGAAAAAAAAATGCAATGATAATAGGTAGGCCTAATAGGCTTCCGTGAAAATGAGGATGAGTACCCAAAGTAATGAAAACACTGCTATTCAAGCAGAAGATCTTATCCCTTCTTCTGCTTCACCTCGCTGCTTCGCATCCTTCATATGCTCCTTCCACCCCAAGACTTTTTTTTGACTGAGCAGGACATTCATGTGAGTTTATAATCTTGATAAATGAGTAAGATCATGCATAAACCAGGATGCATTATGAGTATGGGAAGACTCAGATTTGGTTTAAATTATAGAAATATTGCATGTTAGTTTACAAAGTCATGATAAATTTAATTAAGGAAGTTCAAATTTTCTAAAAAGGAAATTATCCAAATTACTCTTTATTTTTGTCTTATGTGTTCTCTGAAGCTACTCTAGATATAGAGCTGACATGACTCATCAAGTAAAAGGATATGATTAATATAAACAGGGAAGTAGACTCATTACTTTAGCTGAACTATTCATAGAAGTCACACTTGATCGTTTCCAAAGGCAGTAGATAGCTTTAGTTAACAATTACCCATACTGTTTTATCAACATGATCTGACTACTCAGGAGAGACTATATCTCTAGGGACGAGAAAAAAACACAATTTTTCATGTGAGGCCACCAGCAAAACAACACTCCCACTAATTTGAGTATTCCATTAGACTCATACAGTGGCTCAGGGTATTAATTCATCAGATATTTACTGAAGTCCTATTATATATAAGGTCCTCACTAGAATTTCAGAATAACAGAGATTAATAAATAATGGTCTCCCGTGGCAAGAACCATATATTCTCACTGGAACTGGTATCTGTCAACACTGAAATTTTAAAGAAAAGTACAATTTCTTGGATTTATTTTCTTTCTTTCAAGAAATATCTTCTCTGTGAAGCCTTACTGAGCTCCATAAGGCAGAATTTTCCCTCTGTAGAACCTTGTATATACCTCTATAATGCACTTGTCACAGAATACTGAAATTATTTGTCTGCATGTTTGTTTTGCCCACCAGACCTTCCATAAATCTCGTTGAGTGAATAATTAACACAGCTGAGCCCACTTAAGGGAGTACCTTTACCTGCAAAGGCTGTATCTCAGGAGCACGGTTGTCTCTTGTTAGCTGCATCATCTCTTTAATTTGGTAGAGTGCATAGACAAAAGTCACCCAGGGAGAGGAGCTGACCCCCCAAGCTGGCTTGTTCACATCCTCCTGTTCTTCCTGGTGCTTGGTTTTCCTGGGCGGAAGTCTGGGCTCAATGCGTGGCATGACATCCTCTGTCTGTTGCTGTACCAAGTCAATGGTTGCTATGGGAACAGGACTAGAGGGAACAGGAATCCTTTCTGCCAGCATTGTCTTGTCTGGAGAGAAAATCATGTTTAAATCATTTTTCAGAGTTTTCTACATATTTAAACAAACATAAAAATAAATAAGCAGACAATCCCATAAGCCCATTCTAGTGTACTTGGCCACATTAGTAAATTACTGTGTATCGAGGGCCTCTTGGTGCAAGTACTGAACAACAGATGTGATGTTTATCTTCCAGGATCTCTTTATAGGTATTAATAGATATTAACTTATATTTATTTATGAAGTGTATTCTTCATTACACTTAGATATAATTTAATCTGTGGGCATGGGTTATCGTGAATGTTGTCTTAGGCCCACTTACAGGACTGAGTTTTTAAAGATAAGCATAAAAACAGTAATAGCTGTTTTTATTGGCCTTTTACTGAAGGCATGGACTAACACTCTATAATCCATTTAAGATTTTTAAAAAAAGTGAGAAAAAAAAGCATTGGTCTTTCTTTCTGTATAACTTGTTAGCATTAAAATCTGCCTCTGGGGTTTTCTGTAACAAGCTAGTTTTTCCCTAAACAGAAAAAGGTGCTTGAGGCAAATGCTCCTTAAAGACTAGGACACCAGGGGCACCTGGGTGGCTCAGTCGGTTAAGGTTAAGTGTCTGCCTTCGGTTCAGGTCATGATCCCAGGGTTCCCGCATCAGGCTCCCTGCTCAGCCGGGAGTTTGCTTCTCCCTCTTCCTCTACCCCTTTCCCCTGCTCATGCGTGCTCTCTCTCTGTCTCTCTCAAATAAATAAATAAAATCTTTAAAAAGAAAAAAGAATAGGACACCAAAGAAGATGAGCCTTGTTCTGGGACCCAAGAGCTAAGCAAGACTGGTTGGTTTTCTTCATTAAAAAGAAAAAAGTTGATTCAACTTGTACATTATATTTGATATGACCTCCTTTCTATATGACAATTTTAATGAGGGTCATGCCTGGTTAAGGGAAAACTTCAAATTTAAGTTTTTAGATACTTTTTCCCAAATGAATGTAAAAGTATAACAATTAATACCACTCCCTATCCCTAGGAGTAAAATTGCTGTATAGGTTAAATGTATGTGATTTAAATTTGAAATCCCTTTAGAGTACCAGAGAAATTTAAAACCGGTTCTTCCCATACTACCTTGTACTACAAAACAAAACAAAAACATGAAAACCCCAAGCTACTTAAAATGACCAGCATTCGTTTCAACACAGGAGACAGTTTCTCTCTAGCAGTGGTACACATAAATTCATTGATACACACCACTCAGAAAATCTAGCCAGGCAGGTCTGTTACCACCTCTGGGTTTCTGAGGGGTACGTATAGAATTCTCCATGGCTTCAACCTTAGGAACCAGTAAGAGAATGGACAGGTTTACCTTCTTCCTCATCTGGCACTGCCAACCACTGGATCAGGGCAAAAAGCAGGAGGATCACCAGGCAGGCCATGCCGATTCCTCGAAAGGTCGCAGCAGCCCCTGTGGAAACAAACAGAGCACTATACAGAGTAATTCCAGGAAATGCAGATAGCCTTCATCCGAAACTGTCAATGTGCCGAAGTTCAGGGCAAAGGCAGCAGGGCTTGGGATGAACCAGGGAACGATGACTAGTCAGTGGCTTCATACAGTGGACAACAGGCCTGGTAAGTGCCAGGAGCCCCCAGTGCTGGTACTGGATTGGTCATGCATCCAATTGTAAAACTACATTTACAACGGATTGTCTCTGAGTGCCTCTTACCATAAAACTCAGTGGTGCTCTCTTCTTCCTAAACACCATTTACCTGTTAAACAGCCCTATTAATCAGTAGTTGGAACAGCAGAACTCGAATAGTGCTATAAATTCAGATACCCTGGGCCCACCTTGCATAGATGACTGAGCAGTCCAGATTCCTTGAGCAGGATAATCTCCTCTCCACGCCACCCCCTGTATTTCCGACAAGGGAGGCTGGGCCGGGCAGACAGACTGTGTCATCAGAGATGCAGCGACATTACCAAAGGCAGCAAATAGCTACATTTTTCTGAAATAATGATGAATTTTCTTTCCTCTAGCATTACTATCAGCAGGTTTAGGGTACCTTGCTTCAAACCAAAAGCACAGGTGTTTCTTCATTTGTTTGGCTCCTTTGAGGTATCTGTGTAGCATCCCATTAGGCTGTTTGTCACAGAAGTGTGCACAGTTACGGGGCTGGCTCTAATCATCGTAATGACTTAAGCACACTGCTTTACAACTACGACTACCATGAAAGAGAGAAAGATAATATGAATACTGGAGTTTGGCTTCCGGCAATCTTCAGTAATAATTTGAGTGTTTACTGAGGTGCTGCTGAAAAATTGTGTAAGTTCTCAACAAAGAAGAAAGGGAAAAGGAGAGAGCCATTCTTACCAAAATAATTGACTAATACGCCTCCGATCATGGCACCACAACCTCTCCCCAGACCCAGGTGAAGGCCCTGCAGGATGCCCTGAGCAGAGGTCCTCAGCTCAGGGGGAACAGCTGCACTGAGGTAAGAGATGCATGCTGCCCAGATGGCTGCGTGCGTCACTCCTGGAGAGGAAGAAGAGTGGGAGTGTCTGATGAGCGTTCCTTAGTTTACTCTTTTTTGGAGTGCGAAATATTTACTTAATTACACACACATACATACTAAGGACATATACTTGATTTCTAGTAAAATATGCATAACAAAATTTACCATCTTAACCATTTTTAAGTGCATGGTTCAGTAGCATTAGGTACATTCAAAGTGGGATGCAACCATCCATCTCCAGAATTTTTTTTTTTATCTCCCAAACTGAAACTCTGTACCCATTAAATAATAACTCTGCTTAGGCCCTGGAAACCGCCATTCCACTTTCTCTGAATCTGACTACTCTGGGTACCTCCTATAAGTGGAACCATTTATCAGTGGAATTGGTACTTGTCCTTTTGTGTCTGGCTTATTCACTTAGCATAATGTCCTCAGAGTTCATCCAAGTTGTAGCATGGGTCAGAATTTCCCTCCTTTTTAATATTCTCTTGCATGGAGATAACACATTTTATTCATTCATCTGTAGATGGACATTCCAGTTGTTTCCTCCTTTTGGCTATTGTGAATCCTGCTGCTACGTGTATGGATGTTCAAGGATCTGCTTGAGTCCCTGCTGTCCGTTGTTCGGTGTGTACACCAAAAGTGGAATTACTAGGTCATAGGGTGATACTATGTTCCACACTTTGAGGAGCTGCCTGCTTCCCACAGTCGCTGTACCGCTTTACATTCCCCTGAGAAATGCAAAAGAGGCAGTTCCAATTTCTCCACACCCTTCCCAGCACTTGTCATTTTTCATGTTTTTTTATAATAGCATTCCTAACAGGTATGAAGTGGTATCTCATTGTGGTTTTGATTTGCGTTCCCTAATGGCTAGTGATGCTGAAAATCTTTTTATATGTTCACTGGCTATTTGTGTAACTTCTTTGGAGAAATGTCTGTTCAAGTCCTTTGCCCATTTTTGAACTGGGTTGTTTGGGGGTTTTTGCTGTTGAGTTGTAGGAGTTCTTTATATATTTTGGGTTTTTAACCCCTTACTGGACACCCATTATGACTTAAGATTATTTCCAATTTTTTCCATTATAATTAGCACCATGATTAAAATTTCTAGAGATACAGCTTTTTACATATCTGAGATTATTTATTTGGCTATAATTCTACAAATAAGGTTACTGATTCAAAGGATATAATAATTTTTATGCCTTTTAATATATGGTTCCAATTTGTTTTCCAAAAGAGTGTAGAGACCATTTACAGTGCCTCAATACCCATTTTGTTATATTTTCACCATTTGTTGGGAGGGAGGGAAGGATAAAGGTAACAGATGAAAAATAATTTTGGTATTAGCAACTGTGCACTGTCTGAATTTAAATCTTTTATTAGAGCACTGCTTTAAATGTAATAAAAAGATCCTGCCACAACAGGTTTTATAGCTAGAAGGGGTTAAGAAATCATCTGGTTCTGCCTAGATTAAGTCATGAGCTTGCTCCCTGAAAAATAATCTCATTTTGAGATAATAGCATCTCATTACCTATGTTTTGAAAAATTAAACTATAAGATTAATATTCATTTAAGATTTAACCTGACATTAGTCTGCTTCTGACTGAAATGGAATGATGGACTGGATTTGCCCTCCTTCTGAAACAAACAAAAACTGGACACAATATATGAAACAGTAGTTCCCAAGACACTGGACATCAAAACAAGGACAGTGATCTCTGAGGGATGGGAAACAAATGAGGAGCCCTAGCTTACTGCCTGATTAGAGTTTAAAAGCTGCAAGGCATAGAGGGGGAGCCACTGAGTTGAGGAGCAGCAGCCGACAGTCTGCAGAGACCACGGCTGCTAGAGTTCCAGAGAGGGCAGAGTACCAGGGAGGAGAGAGCTTCACAGAGAGATCCCACGGGCGTCGGCAGGTGGTCTCCCTCAAGTGCTCAGCAGAGTGCTGCAGCAAAAGCATGGGTACAGACTGTCCACAGCCTATGTATTCATGTGACCAAAACAATAACATAATTCCAGGTCAAATATAATTCCAACAGTAAAGAGAGTTTCTTTTTCTTCAAAATTCTAAGGATTTTCTAAAACATTGAGTCTTCTAAGATAATTAAAGCATCTTCCAGAAGGATGACTTAAGTCAGGATTCTTATTAAAGATTCTAAACTATTCTTAGAATTTTGGGGCTAGTATTATGTGGCAGTTGTAAAAGATTCTCTGTAGTCAGATTTCTAGAGTTTCCTTACTGCTTTTTGGGACTAATTAGATAACTGGGAACTATATTCCTTAAAGTAACTCAGAGCATTAGCTGAAGGAAAATATAGTAAAGCATACAGTAAAAAATTTTCTTTGGTACCAAAAGCAAAAGAATCAAAGCCACTCTGCCTCTATGCTCCAATATTCTCCAGGGCAGATGTAGAATTAAAAATTGGTTTCTCTGAGATCCCTTATGTCAAAATATGTAAATACAAGAATCCATACTACTTCCTAGAAAAGAAACTAGCAAAACTGAAAAATCCCATGAAACTTCTAGTAATATTAGTTATCTGAAACTCTTGCCAGTGTTTTTACTACGGTTCTGGCCCTCTAATTTTAAAACAATAAAAAAGCAATTTCCAAACCTAAAAACTCCCCACCATTTTTCATATTTGTAAGGCAAGAAAGAAAGTCTTAACAGTTGTGCTACCTGAAACAACTTTCCTGTAAGATTTGGGTGGTAAAAGATATAAGCTAAGAAAAGAAAATGCTTCTGTCTACTTTATTTTTTATTAAGAACTGTGAAAAAGTAGATGATTACTCTCTATATGATGAAATAAATAAGCAAATTTATTCAGTGGCATGGGTAAAAGTGTTGTCACACTAGAGCTACAACTTTTTAAACCTTTTAGTATGAGATAACTAGGTTGGGTGGAGCAGTCTAAGAATAAAAAGATGCTACCCGCTGACTGATAATAGTAACAAAGGTACTTGAACTGACTCTCCTTGCAATATGTGTTAACCCTTCCTTGGCTACTTGTCAGAAAACTATTGGTATTTGTGAATGGCAATTCAAACACCAACTCACATAATAGGTGTTTAATGTGTATGTTTGAGTGGCAATTCAACACCATATGTTAACTGATGATGAATGACTTTCAAAGACCACATAGGTCATAGAAACTTAGCTTCTCAGTCTTTCCTTACCTTTACTGGGGCCCCTCAGGATTACCTAGAAGGCCTAACAGAAACACAGAGATAGCTTCACAGCACCTACAGCCAAGACCTTAACTATCTTTTTTTTTTTCTTAGCATGTATTGCATTATTTGTTTCAGAGGTACAGATCTGTGATTCAGCAGTCTTGCACAATTCACAGTGCTCACCATAGCACATACCCTCCCCACTGTCTATCACCCAGCCACCCCATCCCTCCCACCCACCAAGACCTTAACTATTTGGGAATACACTCCATATGAATAGCCGAGAACCATGAGAAATAATTACGACTAACATTAAATTTTTTTCATTAATGATATTATAGCAGTTTACTGGGAATTGTGCTAAGTGTTTTATATAGCTTATCTCACTTATTCCTCCCAGTATTATTATTTTTTCTTCCTTTTCCAAAAAAAGGAAACTAGGCACAGAGAGATTAAAGTACCTTGTCCAAAGTCACACAGACAACAGGGTAGTAGAACAGGATTTGAACCTAAGGTATGTAAGTTCAGCACTTCAGTGCTTAAGTACTATACTATACACCCTCATAACAACTATTAATTAAAAGTATTACACAGGTAATAGAACAATCTACTTTGAGAGGTTTTTTGATAATATCAAACATGTCCAACAATCTGTCAGTTTAAAAAAATGTATATTCAGGGTGCCTGGGTGGCTCAGTTGGTTATGAGTCCAATCTTGACTTCAGCTCAGGTCATGATCTCAGGGTCATGAGATCAAGCCCCACACTGGGATCTGCACTGAGCATGGAGCCTGCTTGGGATGCCTTCTTTCCTTCTCCCTCTGCCCCTCCCAGCTCCCACTATCTCTACAAAAAAAGATAAAAGAAAAAGGAAAAAAAAAAAGTATATTCTTACTACCTACTTCTCCTTCTTTAAAGAGCTCACATCATACATATTACCAAGTTTTTTATATGCTCCAAATAACTCTTTATCTTATAATATTCAACATTGTTATCTGATCCTGTAACATGAACTTCAAGATTGTTCCGTCTTGGCCCAGAAGAATGCAGGGATAAGCAAGAAAAAAAATCCTTTCTTCCCAAACAGACAGCTGCTCTTTGTAAAACGCTGCTTGGCTTGAGGAAATCACATCATAATGGCTGGGAGGGGTAAGAACTGACAAAGTACTAGAGAACTAGGATTTTTTGTTTTGTTTTTCTTGCTCTGCCACTGACTTGTGCTCACTAAACAAAACATAAATATCCGCATAGCACCGACACACTGAATCAGTTGTGACAAACCTTAGGCATTGATGGACCAAAGCACACATTTCAGTTACTTCAGGGTACCTCCCAAATGCTAGGATAAAAAAAAGCTTCTGAAAGATCAACCTAGTGAAAAGAGACTGTTCTTTCTTAAAAAAAAAAAAAAGAAAGAAAGAAAGAAAACTCCATTGGGCTCACAATAAGCAGAGTCTGTATTGGTTAAGGTAATGATAGCTGTTGTAACAGATCAACCTTGGACTCTCAGTGGTTTCATACATCATATGAAGTCCAGTGGGCATGGGTCATCATTCAGGGATCCAGGCTGCAGAGACTCTGCCATCTTCAGCACCTGGTTACCTTGGGTACCAATATCCAGCTGGCAGAGTGGGGAGGAGAGGATGGCACATGGAAAATTTTATGGTCTGCGTTTAGAAGTGACACACATCATTTCTGCTCACATTCCACTGAAAAGAATTAGCCAAATGGTCATACCTAACTGCAAGGGAGACTGGGAAATAGAGTCCAACTATGTGTCCATGAAGAAAAGGAAACCTCAGATAAACAGCAAGCCCAGTGTCTCTGCCAGAGTCAGGGCCACCAACAGCAAT